ATTTTCCTAATAAAGTTAATAAAACAAATCTAAAATTAAATATTTTACTTAGAAAATATATAGCTAAAATTAATATAAAAGTTTTTATTAAAAAAATTAAACTTTTTAATAAAAACACAGGCAAATTTGTCTGTGTTACAATTTAAAGGATAATGATTTTAGAAGTTTGACTAGACATATTTATTAATAATTTATTGTTTTAGTGTTTTAACGATTTATAGTGTTTTTAGCAATTTAGTGTTTTTAGCGATTCTTTATCAACCTATATCAAAAAATATCATGATTCAAATTTGTATATAGCTAAAAATAAAAAAAATGTAAGTAATTGTTAATATATACTTCATAGATTTTTATTTCTTTTTTGCATATATTGCAAGTAAATACTAATATATAAATTATATTTCCCAATTGTAATCTCAAGAATAGCATTAGGAAAACGGTAGACAATATCAAAAATACGACTATACAAAAACACTTTTTTCTAGTTGCTGAGATGGGACACCATGTCACCAGGATGCAGTAATTGTCAAATATTCCACAAAGATTTTTTAATAGATTTGCTACTCCCAGATATTCACATAATTCAAAATAATCGAACACACCTATGACTCTATCTTGTTTTATATTTTTAATAGTGATAAAGTTAGTTGCCTGATCATATATGTGCTTATATTTATCTGGATTACATAGTGGCATATACTGTGTAGGGCAAGTAGTAAACTTATCCATTGCCTTGCACTAATTATTTTTTGATTTATTGGTCATTACTACTTAGCTTTGTCTAATTTAATTAATCTCTTTTTTTCTTTAGCTATTCTTCTTTAATATTTATATTAACAGAGAATATCATTATTCAAATTTATATAGGTCTATTATTGAAATTATGAATTAGCTAGATCACTTTTTTTCTTGCACTTCTGCCTTATCTCTATTTCCTTCTGTAGGTTTAATGGAGTGTCTAACCTTAGCCGAATTGCAAGTGAATCATCCTCGGGTCTATCTAGATCAAATACAATAAATTCACCTTTTTGAAGATAACTATTTATAACCATCAATACATTCTTAACACATTAGTATATTGACTAGCTATCTTGAACATATCTTAAAAACTGTCTCTAGTATTAAATATCACTAGATGGGATATATTTTTACAAATAATAATGAGAACTTTATGATACTTCTGTGTAATATATATACTTGAAATATTTTTATAATACCTATGAGTAAAGAAAGGAATAATTTGATTTTGTATATGCTCTGGGGCAACACATAAGTCTTCGAAAATGATGATAGTACTTCTTTCTGATGAAAATGATTTCATATTTGGTATCTTTTCGGGAGAGATATAGCTAAATCGTATATTCTTATAATATGGGGCTCTAGGATCCTTTGCAATTATTTCATACATATATTTGACAAATACTCACTTAGGCTTATCTGGATAATAACTGCAAACTATCAAATCATCGCATTTTATATATCAGGATTCTTCTTTTTGTCTTTTATATATATGCTCACTTTTATCACCGAAAACAAGATTTGCAAATAAATTAGTCTTACCTGTTCTACTTCTTCTACTAACTAATATAGTAAAAGGCCAGTTAGGTGATGCTTCATGCTCTTTTACTCGGGATGATTCGTGCTTTGTGGACTCATCTATATCCATAAGGTAAAGTTTCATAGGGGGTGGCTCTCTTGAGACCTCTTAGATAGTTCTGTTTTTTGGTTTTTCTGCATGGCGGATTGAAAATTTGTATCTTTGATTTTTATTAAAAGGTGTTATATAATTTTGAAAAAAGTTTTCTTCATTATGGGGTGATATAAAAGAATATAGACAAGATAAGATAGACTATAGAAAGTATATAATTAGTAAAAGTATTATAAGAAAGATCGCAAGCTAAAAAAAGAAAGAACCAAATTTTTTATCACTAATAGATACTACTGAGAAGCAGTTTCTATAGAGACCCCAGGTGGTTTCAGGGCTAGCATTATCATTACCTTTCTTCTGTTTATTAACACCTGGTTCTTCTAAGACCTCTCCAGCCACTTTAGACTCGCTGAATATTTTTGGAATCTGTTCAGTTAAATGAGCTTTATTTAGGACCACTTCTTGAAGAAGCGTGTCTTTCTCTATTAATGCTTTTTGAGTTGTGATTAAATTATCTTTTATCTGCGCCAATTCATTTTTTTTTTCTACTAGTGTGTTTTCTAAATCTTTTTTTTCCAGATCTAGATAAATATTTTTAGTAGATAGTTTTGCATTTTTTACTTCTAATTTATGCTTAAGAGATTTTATTTCTAATAACTTCTCTTGAGCTAAAGAAATATCCTGCTCTAATTCCTCTGCTCTAGAATGAAGAGCCTGTATCTCTTCCTTCATCTTAGATTGGAGGGCTTGCATCTCTTCTGATTTTATAAAGAATTTGCTTTCAGCATCTGCAAGAGAAATATCCTTGTGAGTAATTTGAAGCTTAAGATTATTTATTTCTAAATGCAATTGTCTTATCTCATCTCCAAGCTTAGAATCATTTATTTCTGATCATAATCATGCTATCTCTTCTCCAAGTTGGTGCACCTGATTAAAAAGTTTCTCATTTTCTTTTTTGGATTTATTAAGGTCATCTGTATATACTTATTTTCTTTTTTTGATTGATTTAAAGAATTCTGTATATACTTATTTTTTCTATCTAAGACATCATATTTATCTGCAAACTGACTTCCCAATATATAGCAACTTCACAATCTTTTTTCACACAAGAAAGTTGTTCTTCAAGCTCTGTTCGGCTAGGAGGGTATTGATTAGCTAGAGAATTTCCAAGTTTATTACCA